CTCCCGGCAATCTTGATTCCAACTTGTGCTTCCTCCAGCCCAGCGTTTCTCATAATGGACTCTGCATATAAGTTAAATAAGCAGGGTGACAATATACAGCCTTGACATACTCCTTTTCCTATTTGGAACCAGTCTGTTGTCCCATGTCCAGTTCTAACTGTTGCTTCCTAACATGCATATAGGTTTCTCAAGAGGCAGGTCAGGTGGTCTGGTATTCCCATCTCTTTCAGAATTTTCCACAGTTTATTGTGATCCACACAGTCCAAAGCTTTGGCATAGTCAATAAAGCAGAAGTAGATGGTTTTTCTGGAACTCTCTTACTTTTTCCATGATCCATTGGATGTTGGCAATTTGATCTCTGGTTCCTCTGACTTTTCTAAAACCAGCTTGAACATCTGGAAGTTCACAGTTCATGTATTGCTGAAGCCCGGCTTGGAGAATTCTGAGTATTACTTTACTAGCATGTGAGATGAGTGCAATTGTGTGGTAGTTTGAGCATTCTTTGGCATTGCCTTTCTTTGGGATTGGAATGAAAACTGACCTTTTCCAGTCCTGTGGCCACTGCTAAGTTTTCCAAATTTGCTGGCATATTGAGTGCAGCACTTTCACAGCATCATCTTTTAGGATTTGAAATAGCTCAATTGGAATTCCATCACCCCCACTAGCTTTGTTCGTAGTGATGCTTTCTAAGGCCCACTTGACTTCACATTCCAGGATGTCTGGCTCTAATTGAGTGATCACACGATCGTGATTATCTGGATCGTGAAGATCTTTTTTGTACAGTTCTTCTGTGTATTCTTGCCACCTCTTCTTAATATCTTCTGCTTCCATACCATTTCTGTCCATACCATTTCTGTCCTTTATTGAGCCCATCTTTGCATGAAATGTTCCCTTGGTATCTCTAACTTTCTTGAAGAGATCTCTAGTCTTTCCCATTCTGTTGTTTTCCTCTATTTCTTTGCATTGATCGCTGAGGAAGACTTTCTTATCTCTCCTGGCTTTTCTTTGGAACTCTGCATTCAAATGGGTATATCTTTCCTTTTCTCCTTTGCTTTTCACTTCTCTTCTTTTCACAGCTATTTGTAAGTCCTCCTCAGACAGCCATTTTGCTTTTTTGCATCTCTTTTTTCTTGGGAATGGTCTTGATCCCTCTCTCCTGTACAATGTCACGAACCTCCAACCACAGTTCATCAGGCACTCTGTCTATCAGATCTAGCCCCATAAATCTATTTCTCACTTCCACTGTATAATCATAAGGGATTTGATTTAGGTCATACCTGAATGGTCCACTGGTTTTCCCAACTTTCTTCAATTTAAATCTGAATTTGGCAATAAGGAGTTCATGATCTGAGCCACAGTCAGCTCCCGGTCTTGGGAACTCTATACAGCTGACTGTATAGAGTGTCTCCATCTTGGGCTGCAAAGAATATAATCAATCTGATTTCGGTGTTGACCATCTGGTGATGTCCATGTGTAGAGTCTTCTCTTGTGTAGAGTCTTCTCTTGCGTTGTTGGAAGAGGGTGTTTGCTATGACCAGTGCGTTCTCTTGGCAAAACTCTATTAGTCTTTGCCCTGTGTCATTCTGCACTCCAAGGCCAAATTTGCCTGTTACTCCAGGTGTTTCTTGATTTCATACTTTTGCATTCCAGTCCCCTATAATGAAAAGGGCATCTTTTTTGGGTGTTAGTTCTAAAAGGTCTTGTAGGTCTTCATAGAACCATTCAACTTCAGCTTCTTCAGCGTTAGGGGTTGGGGCATAGGCTTGGATTACCGTGATACTGAATGGTTTGCCTTGGAAACGAATGGAGATCATTCTGTCATTTTTGAGATTGCATCCAAGTACTGCATTTCGGACTCTTTTGTTGACCATGCTGGCTACTCCATTTCTTCTAAGGGATTCCTGCCCACAGTAGTAGATATAATGGTCATCTGAGTTTAATTCACCCATTCAAGTCCATCTTAGTTCACTGATTCCTAGAATGTCTACATTCACTCTTGCCATTTCCTGTTAGACCACTTCCAATTTGCCCTGATTCATGGACCTCACATTCCAGGTTCCTATGCAATATTGCTCTTTACAGCATCGGACCTTGCTTCTATCACCAGTCACATCCACAACTGGGTATTGTTTTTGCTTTGGCTCCATCCCTTCATTCTTTCTGGAGTTATTTCTCCACTGATCTCCAGTAGCATATTGGGCACCTACCAACCTGGGGAGTTCCTCTTTCAGTGTCCTATCATTTTGCCTTCTCATACTGTTCATGGGGTTCTCAAGGCAAGAATACTGAAGTGGTTTGCCATTCCCTTCTCCAGTGGACCACATTCTGTCAGACCTCTCCACCATGACCCGGCCGTCTTGGGTGGCCCCACACGGCATGGCTTAGTTTCATTGAGTTAGACAAGGCTGTGGTCCTGTGATCAGACTGGCTAGTTTTCTGTGATTATGGTTTCAGTGTATCTGCCCTCTGATGCCCTCTCGCAACACCTACCGTCTTACTTGGGTTTCTCTTACCTTGGACGTGGGGTATCTCCTCACGGCTGCCCCTCCTGACCTTGAACGTGGAGTAGCTCCTTTCGGCCCTCCGGCGCCTGCGCAGCCACCACTCCTTGGACGACAAAAGACTACACGGAGCCTATTATACAAAGTGAAGTAAGTCAGAAAGAGAAACAACAATACAGTATATTAATGCATATATATGGAATTTAGAAAGACAGTAATGACAACCCTACATGCAAGACAGCAAAAGATACACAGATGTAAAGAACAGACTTTTGGACTCTGTGGGAGAAGGTGAGGGTGGGGTGATTTGAGAGAATAGCATTGAAACATGTATATTACCATATGTAAAACAGATGACCAGTGCAAGTTCACTGTATGAAGCAGGGCATTCAAAGCCGGTTTTCTGGGACAACGCAGAGCGATGGGGTGGGGAGGGAGGTGGGAAGTGGGTTCAGGTTGGGGGTACAGGTACACCCATGGCTGATTCATGTCAATGTATGGCAAAAGCCACAATAGTAAAGTAATTAGCCTCCAAGTAAAATTAATTTGAAAAAAAAACCACGACTACATGAAGTGTATATGAAATGCTCATAATGGGTTAATCTATAAAGACAGAACGGCTTCCCTGATATCTCAGCTGGTAAAGAATCCGCCTGCAATGTGGGAGACCCGGGTTCGATCCCTGGGTTGGGAAGATCCCCTGGAGGATGGAAAGGCTACCCACTCCACTATTCTAGCCTGGAGAATTCCATGGACTATACAGTGCATGTGGTTGCAAAGAGTCAGACATGACTGAGTGACTTTCACGTACCTACTTAACTGATAAAGAAGAGCGTAAACTGGTGGTCACCAGCAGCAGGGAAACTGGGGGTATCTGGGGTCTGTTTGTTTCCAAGGGCTGCCATGACAATTACTACAACCTGGCAGCTTAAAACAACAGAAATGTACTCTCTTCCGGTTCAGGAGGCCAGAAGTCCTAAACCAAGTGTCGGCATGTTTGGTCCCCTCTGGGGACCCTGAAGGAAAATCCCTTCCATGCTGCTCTCCTGGCTTCTAGTCGCTGCTGGTGACACGGACGCTCTGGCTTGAAGGGCTTTGTAACTCCAGTCTCCACCTCCATCTTCACACTGCCTCCTCTGTGTCTCTGCATGGTCTTTTTCTCTCTCTTAGAAAGACACTCATCACTGGCTTTAAAAACCCTAATCCAGAATGATCATATTTCACAATCCTTACTTTACTGACATCCACAAGGACCCTCATTCCAAATAAAGTCACTTTTTGAGATTCTAAATGGACATATCTTTGTGGGCCACAACTCAACCCACTCCTGGGGTGCTGGCAATGGGGTACAGGGTTCCTTTGGGGCATGATATGTGAGAGTTGGATCCTAAAGAAAATTGAGTGCTGAAGAATTGATGCTTTTGAACTGTGGTATTGGAGGAGACTCTTGAGAGTCCCTTAGGCTGCAAGGAGATCCAACCAGTCCATCCTAAAGGAGATCAGTCCTGAATGTTCATTGGAAGGACGCATGTTGAAGCTGAAACTCCAATACTTTGGCCACATGATGCGAAGAACTGACTCATTTGAAAAGACCCTGATGCTGGGAAAGACTGAAGGCAGGAAGAGAAGGGGATGACAGAGGATGAGATAGTCGGATGACAACACTGACTCAATGGACAGGGAAGCCTGGTGTGCTGCAGTCCACGAGGTCACAAAGAGTTGGACACAACTGAGTGACTGAACTAAAAAACTAAATTCTAAAACTGTTTAGATGGTGATGGTTGCACAACTTTATGAATATACTGTAAGCCACTGAACTGTATACTTTAAATGGGTGAACTGTATGGTGTGTGACTTCTATCTGAGTAAAGTTATTATTTTGAAAAAAGAGTCACAGGAAACTCCCAAGTGGTCAGGACTCTGCGCTTTCACTTCCAAGGACCCGGGTTCAATCCCTGGTCAGAGAACTAAGGTCTCACAGTCCTTGCAGAGCAACCAAAAAAAGAGGCATAGTACGTTAACACACCTGCTATTACTCAACTGTAAGAAATAAATCTGTTTCTTCATGGATCCATGAATGGTTCAAACAAACAAAACATTGCCTCACTCCACACATCTCTAGCACATAAGGCTCCTGAGAAATAGAGCTGAATATCCTACTCAAAAAGGGTTTTTGAAAGAGGAAAGTGGTTGGTTAGCAATGTCATTTCAAAGTCCCCTAGAACTCAAAGATTTATCACAGTAGCAGTTGAGTATGATTTCCCAAACCAAACTGAGTATTAAATCAGTGTAAATTTGTACTGTATTTTTAGAAATCAGTGTTTAGATGTCCTTGAAAGGAGAACAACTTTTCAGCAATGTTTATCTACGACTCACTACATGACATAAATACTACGCACATGAGGCCAGAGCCTGAGATTAAGGTTCAGATATCAAAATATCCCTTACCTTGATTCGACCCTTTTCTGTAGAGCCAGGACTTGTGTGGCCGTCAGGTTTTCATAGAGTAGAGGCATATGATGTGGTCTTCCATGCTTTCAGAATGTCGACAAAGGCTCTGAAGAGAGGAAGGCCCACCGTGAGTCTGTACCCTTGAAACTCCTGCTGATGTCTGAAAAAACTGAGTACCACTTCAGATGCCACTCCTGCTTGAAAGCCTCCCTGATGCCTTGGGCATGGCTCTCCTCCCTGTGTACTCCAGCGATACTTGATAGATTCCTCTCTGCATGGCCTGATTCAGGATAAAGTATCGATGAATTCCTTAAGTACAAACCTAATAAAGTATGTTTTACAGAAAATTATGTGGAAGCCACCAAAGAAAACTTAAACTGTATAATTCCTTAAGTACAAACCTAATAAAGTATGTTTTACAGAAAATTATGTGGAAGCCACCAAAGAAAACTTAAACTGTATAGTAGTCATGCTGAAAAGATAAGAAGAAACAGGCAAAATTAATTTCGATAATATATTTTATTTAACCTAATATGCTTATGAACTGTGGTGTTGGAGAAGACTCTAGAGACTCTTGAGAGTCCCTTGGAAAGCAAGGAGATCAAACCAGTCAATCTCAAAGGAAATCAGTCCTGAATATTCATTGGAAGGACTGAAGCTGAAGTTCCAATACTTTGGCCACCTGATGCAAAGAGCTGACTCATTAGAAAAGACCCTGGTGCTGGGAAAGATTGAAGGCAGGAGGAGAAGGGGACAACAGAGGATGAGATGGTTGGATGGAATCACTGATACAATGGACATGAGTATGAGCAAGTTCTGGGAGATGATGAAGGACAGGGAAGCCTGGTGTGCTGCAGTCCATGGGGTCTCCAAGAGTCGGACACAACTGAGCGACTGAAGAACAGCAACAACAATATACCCCAAATATTATCAAGACAATATGCCATCACCATAGAAAACTTTAATGAGGTTTTCTCCTTGATTTTTTTGTCTAGGCCATTCGGTATGCAGGATCTTAGTTCCCTGACCAGGGGTTGAACCTGCACCTCCTGTAGTGAAACTGCAGAGTCTTTAACCACCTGACTGCCAGGGAATTCCCCCAAACAGCTATTTAACATAAACAAAGGCTGTAAGAAAGGTGTGTGTGAGGAAGAGTTCACCAGACCAGGAAGTTTGGGAAAGAGAACTGCTCAGTGTGAGAAGATAAAATCAGAGATGTGGATGGGATCCTAGCAGTCATATGAAGTCCAGTAAGTCGTGGCACGGAGTTTGCAGTCTGTTCAAAGTGCAGAAGTATAGTGGATTCTGTGACTCTGTCTCTCCCTCTGGCTTTCTCTGCCTCTGTCAAATAGATACAGTGAATAGCACGTAGAGTCCTGAGGGGGCCTCTTGTTTCTTGGGGACCCCTGACTGACACAGTATAAACAGAGTGTAGAACCAAATTGAGACAACCCAGCTAGGTTTGGGTCATCAAATAATTAATCAAGGAAAGAACAACTTCTTTGAACACATAAGAGTAATATACAATTAACTGTTTTGATGTGTTGCTATAGAAGTGAACATTTATACAAAATTTAAACGATTTTCCTGCACTCGAGCTCACACAGCTCATTTATCCAATTGCATTTCATGTGAAGTCTAATGTCTACTTGGATGCCTTCTGGACTATTATGGTGCTGATTAATGAGACTTAATTTTATAAAATACTTCTTGATGACAGCCTGAACCAAAAGGCTCAAGCCAAAAGGTTTTGCTTGATGACAGCAAAACCAACTTGAAAGGTCAAGTGCTTTCCTAATGTCTCTTGGTGACTCATGAAAGGTAAAGCCACACTAATCCTTGCTCTCAATCAAAGTCGCAGGAAACAGGGACAGGATAATTTCCTGCAAGCATGTCACCATGTGAGCCAAGTAACTGGTGACCTGGAGGGGCTCAGAGTTACTGTATTTGAAAAGCAGTTGTTGAAGAGACTCATAGTGGAATTCATAGGAAGCTTCAGCAGAGGCTGAAGACCTGCACCACAGATTTAAGCAGAGGAATTTTCTTTTCTAATTATACTTTTAAGAATTTTTCAATTAAATACTTTTTAGTTTTGTTTAAAAGATTCAGAATGACAATTAAAAAAAATTTTTTTTAATTTAATTTTCAAGAATGACAGTTGTCCCATGCCTCATCTTTGTTAGAGCTTCCACTTTACAGCAAGTATATCTGGAAAGTTATAAGGAGAAGAATTGAAAAGGAAAACTATTCCTTCCCACCTCCCTTTCTGTAATTCTTATCCTACTTCCCACTTTTAGCCCATCCTTCTTAAGATATGTTGACAGCTTATCTCTGGGATTTCATTTATTCACTCAACAAACAGTAAAGCACTACCCTTATCCTTTCAAAGCTGCCTGTGTCAGTCGTGACTCTTGGTTATAAGCAGCAGAAACCAACTCAACACACAGGAAAAGAATATTATGGAAGAAATAGATGGGAGGAGGAAACCTAGGTATGGGAAACGGATAGGAAATAAGGCAGCCATGGAGGGCCAGCAAGAAGGAAGACACAGCCATTTTCAGCAGAAACCACTGGTCCAGGTGCCGCCACCACAGAAGACCACTGTCACCACGAACAAGGCCCAACCATCTCACCCTCTTGTGTCGTTAGCTCAAGATTCTGTGTTCCAGGTGGGAGAAGTGATTGGCCAAGCCAGGTCCCGTGTCCATGCTCTAATGTCTGAAGACAAGGAGAGTGTTTCTGGCCCTTTCACGTTTTCACAGGGGAAGTAAACTCTACAAAGGCAGCGTGAGGGGGAGCTCAGAAATAGGAAGGAGTGTGGCAGCCAAAAGCAACTCCACACTTCTGTGCGTGAGGCACTGACTCTGTCCTTAAGACGCCCTCAGTCTTGAAGGAAAGACACACAATAAACAGATGAAACCCAACACAGAATAATAAACACGATCAAGAAGAAGTACAGTGCCAAGGCTCAGAGCACAAACTCTGCAGACAAGTGGTTACATCTTGGTTCTGCTGGGTGTAAGCTGCATGACCTTGAAAAGGTGGTTAACCTCCTGTTGCCTCGTCACTTGCAGAGAAAAGTTAATATTAGTAATCTACTCAGAGGACTGCTATTAAATAAAGCATGCAAAGCAATCAGCATAGTGGCTGGTACATAGTAACACTTCAGTACATATTGGCAATGATTATTACTATAAAGGGCAACAGGGACTCTATTAGAATTGGCAAAAAGTCCATCATTCACTCATATAAAACGCTGAACTATGGGCTGTATCTGTTCTAGAAAATGGATTCATTTTAATTTTGTCTTTGGAAGCAGATAGGTAACTCTGCCTAAAACAGGGACATAAATTATAATCATATCTTTCCATCTTTTCCCCAGTTACTCATTTAATGTATAGAAAAAAGGGCTAGGTAGGGTGGAGACAAGTCATAATGTTTGCATCAGATTCTTGAAAAGTTTAGCAACTTCAGAAACAAAGTTGGCACCTCCACACTAGAAGGAAGGTATAAAGAAAGAGCTTTTAAGAATGATTATGCTGAGGGAGGAACTGGAATTTCATACATACACCTGAATATGGAACCAGAGGAACCAGGGATCAAATTGCCAATATCTGTTAGATCACTGAAAAAGCAACAGAATACCAGAAAAACACCTACTTCAACTTTATTGATTATGCCAAAGTCTTTGACTGTGTAGATCACAACAAACTGTGGACAATTCTTCAAGAGAAGGGAAGACCGCAACACCTTACCTGCCTCCTGAGAAACCTGTGTGCAGGTCAAGAAGCAACAGTTAGAACTGGACATGGAACAACAGACTGGTTCCAAATTGGGCAAGGAGTACGTCAAGGCTGTATATTGACATCCTGATTATTTAACTTACATGCAGAGTACATCATGTGAAATGCTGGATGAAGGGCTGGATGAAGCACAAGCTGCAATCAAGATTGCCAGGAGAAATATCAATAACCTCAGATATGCAGATGACACCACCCTTATGGCAGAGAGTGAAGAGGAACTGAAGAGCCTCTTGATGAAAGTGAAAGAGGAGAGTGAAAAGGCTGGCTTAAAATTTAACATTCAAAAAACTAAGATCATGGCATCCAGTCCTATCATTTCATGGCAAATAGATGGGAAAACAATGGAAACAGTGTCAGACTTTATTTTCTTGGGCTCCAAAATCACTGCAGATGGTAACTGTAGCCATGAAATTAAAAGACGCTTGCTCCTTGGAGGAAAAGCTATGACCAACTTAGCATATTAAAAAGCAGAGACATTCCTTTGACAACAAAGATCCGTCCAGTCAAAGCTATGGTTTTTCCAGTAGTCATGTAGGGATGGGTGAGAGTTGGACTATAAAGAAAGCTGAGTGCTGAAGAATTGATGCTTTTTGAACTGTGGTGTTGGAGAAGACTCTTGAGAGTCCCTTGGACTGCAAGGAGATCCAACCAGTCCATCCTGAAGGAAATCAGTCCTGAATATTCATTGGAAGGACTGATGCTGAAGCTGATACTAGAATTCTTAGGCCACCTGATATGAGGAACTGACTCATTGGAAAAGACTCAGATGCTGGGAAAGATTGAAAGCAGGAGAAGGGGATGACAGAGGATGAGATGGTTGGATGGCATCATCAACTTGGTGGACACGAATTTGAGTAAGCTCTGGGAGTTGGTGATGGACAGGGAAGCCTAGCATGCTTCGGTTCATGGTGTCTCAAAGAGTTGGACACGACTGAGTGACTGAACTGAACTGAACTGACCTGAATATAGATGTCCAAAGAGGTTGCCTGAAGTTTCAAAAATATTACCACCCTTTCCCTGGCCCTCCACCCATTGTCTTGCCATTAACTAATATTCTGGGATTGTTTAAGAGATGAGTGTTTCTCCTGATGGTTCTGCAGGCTTGTCCTTTGATCTCTGTCAAGTCAGAGAAGTTTTACACATCTTGGTTTCATTCTCCAAAGCAGTGCTGTCCACTAGAACTTTCTGTGAGGATGGAAATGTTCTATATCTAATATGTGGCCTCTAATTAGTGAGCATTTGGATGATGGCTAGTATGACTGAGATACCAAATTTTTAGTTTTGATTATTTTTAAAGCAATAT